TGCATTTGGTTTTCTTAGCTCAATTCTCAATTTCTACATAATTTTGTTCCTATAGCGGAAGCTTAATCGACAGGGTAATTACCAGTAATTAGTCATTCACAAGCAAGCACATGTATAAGCAAACAAAACTGTGCACTATTGTTTTGTCGACATAAAATATTAATGCATGAAAAACTTATCGAGCTTTTGTAAACCCTATGGTGCAGTAATGTGATTTTGGTGATTAGATGTACCCTCTTAGAATGGACTTCCCTTTGGATTTTGTTTTTCATTTTAGTCGGGAAGTCTTTACAGCTTTGAGAGTAACGAAATATCTTCTTGCTAGGTGATATAAAAGACAAGTAATTAGCTAATTCAACTCAAAATTTTGTATTGGGTATGCTGTCAACGCTTATATCTAGGGGGAGAAGATATTGGCTGACTGACTATCAAGCGATTAACAAAACAAAACTCGTGCAGTCACCGTCATTTTGAAGTAATACCATTCGATCTCGTACGAACAGAATTTGATTCCTGAAACCAAAAACGTGATTGATTTTCGTATTGGTTCTGTTACGTATTACAATTTTGAAAGGTCTGAAACTGAGTTAACTGATACATTTCTGAGAAAACATCTTTACGAACACATTCACACGTACTAGTTTCAATAATTTTAGAGAAAGGATGATATCGAAACCTTACGATCCGTTCATTCCGAGTAAGTGTAAGTTCATATTTAAAACAGTGAGTTGATATACTAATGTTTTCACTCAAAAAACTTTTTCAAGAAAGGCAATCTGTTTTAGACTTTTTAAAGTTCATACTATTTTACTCAATCTTTCTAAAGTTGATTTCACTTCAGCTTACAGTTGATCATATTTTGCCCAATCGTTTTAAATTGATCATGTATTGTTTGCAAGTTTTGGGGTTTATTATACTTTATTCAACCTTTTCAAAGTTGATTATGTCTTGTTTGACTTTGCTAAGATTGATCATACATTGATCCACTTTTGTTACTTGATTATATCTTGTTTGCCTTTACTAATGTTAGTCATACATTGGTCTACTTTTGTAAACTGAATGTATCTTCAAATATACTGTTGGTGTGAACGGGCTTTATAGTCATTGTGAGAAAAACCTATAAACTGGACAGGTGAAGTGAAGAAAACGTGTCATCGGCCACTATTCTTGTCTTTCTTTGGTTAACTTGTGTTCATGGTTACTGATGAAGATTGGAATTCTCCGAAACTAGTATAACCCAATGACACACTTTGATCAAAGTGTAGATTGAACTGGACCTCCCTTAAACGTAGACTCCGAGATGAAACAATTTCGGAATACTAAGTTTATTGATTTTATTGATCGTGTATTGTAAGTTGATTATATCTTGTTTGACTTTGCTAAGATTGATCATACATTGATCCTCTTTTGTAAGTTGATTATGTCTTGTTTGCCTTTACTAAGGTTGATCATACATTGGTCCTCTTGTAAGTTGATTATATCTTGTTTGACTTTGCTAAGGTCTGTCATATATTGGTCCAATTCTGTAAGCTGATTATGCATTAGTTCAGTTTTGTAAGCTGATTATATGTTGATTGAAATTTCCAAGTTTTATCATAAGCTATTAAATTTAAAAAGAAAACTCTTCAACGAAAGAAACTCCAACAACATGAACATAATCAAGAAATGCATGAATATTTATTCTGAGCTTGAGCTTTTGGTATATTTCCAGCTTTTCATCAGAAAACTTCTGAAAAGGCCTAACAGCCACAAGTCCATCTGTTTTTACATTTCTTCTCACTGTTTAATATATGTTCTCTATTCTTCTAACCAGACTTGTCTGTTTAATGTTATTCTTATCTTACGTATTTATAACATCTTAAAATACTGTTTACAACTTTATCAAATTTTTACTTGTTTATTTTAGAGTTGATCATTCGGTACTTCACCGTTTTAAAGTTGATTTCAAAAATTAATAATTAATTTGAAGTTCGATATTTATGGTTAAAGGAAGCTTATTTCTTATGGTCATTCATAAATTACTAGAAAATTGTTAACACTAATCGTATATTATTTGACTATTTTAAGGTTAACGATTCCTCATTCGATTGTGTTAAGTTTCAAATACTAAACAGAGTTAGTTTTACCACACCTTGATAGTTTTAGAGTAGTTAAATACCAGTACGAATTATTTGTGGTTAACCGATATTTCGTTTTGTCTTGGGTAGTTAAAGCATTAATAATGCAAGCTCATTTTTCTCAGTTATTATTACAAAAAATATAGTTACAGTTATATTTATCTGGCTTCTTCTTAAATAACATATGTTAATTAACTTACTGAAATTGTTATTCTCATTTGTATTTGTATTTCATTAATATAAACACAATTAAATATTGATTAATGGTTGTAGATCTTATTTCATATTAATTTTTAAAACAATGTTATGGAAATATTTTAGGTAATGTATATATATATACATATGTATATAAACTATAATTCAAGGTTTCTCTCCAAGATAATAATGTATAGAAAAACTTGAATACGTGGGTTTCGTAATCTGGTGTATCGTAAACTTATTTAAAAGTTTACTAAAAGAATTGAGCTTAATATATTTTCGCATTCGAATGTTGCCAAGAATAAAAATCATTAGTTTTGAATAAAATGTATACAGAAACCCAACAAAATGATCCATTAAAATTAGCTTAGTTGGACAGATTCGCAGATAAACCAAGTGGGCTCTCATTCATCAGTAATCATAAACAGAGTAGCTATTCATAAAACGACCCAAAATAGTTACATCACGCACTCCAGTTTTCTCCATCTAGCAAACTAACTCATTTTTTTTTTTAATGAACTCCTGGCATTTCCAGATAATTTGATATCGTGCAGCCGCAAAATACAAAAAGCAAAAATAATAGCTCGGAGAAGAATGGCTACTGAGGAACGTTCTTGGATCTATGGATTTTTTTTCTTTCCTCAGCACAAATCGATACCTTTCTCTATCCGTTTAGTTTCGTGAACATTCTTTCAGGTGCACGGAACTCTCTAAGGACACGGAAGAGAAGCGAAAGCTATACGGTAATGTCTACAGAGAATAGTCAGAATTTGCTAATCTTCGAGTGTCATCGTGATTCTGTTGCTCACATAATACCGAGGGTTATTGGTTGTTTGCTCACTTATCAAACAGATAAGAAACAAGCAAGGAAAGAATGGACCAACTTGATTTATATTCAGAAAAGATCCAGAATTTGCAAAATGGAATCAGAAACACGTACAATAAGCAAAGCAATTGTAAATGCATATCACTTGGAAGAAGGATATTCTTTTATCAGTAACGTGTGTTATACAAACTAATAAAACAAGTCTGGCGTCAGTTCTTATCTTTTCAGAGAGTCTTCCAACTTTACAGGATGGTCTTTCGCTCTTAAAATGTTTCAGTAATATACTTAAGTAGTATAACATTCTGTATTAAAATAAATGTTACTCGCTTTTCGGTAGCTCTAAAGAAGCATAATATTTCTACGAAATGTTTTGCATTTCAAAGAATATGTAAAGTAGAATACTTTGAGAACAAGATCGATATTAATTGTAAAAAAAAAGAAAAAAATCGTTTCTCCTTGTAAACCTTTCATTTAACGTACAACATGATGTTGATGTTTTGGTTATTACATACTATTTTTTTTTCTTGGTTATAGGATTACAGATGTCATTTTAATATACATGAATCAGATAACTAAAAAAAATACTAATTTTGTAAAGAGTAAGGGAATATTTTGCCTGTCACTTTGTTTATGTGCATGTTATTGATACGTTTACAAAAAATGAAGAAACGAATTCAGCTCGTTTATGTATAGTATGATATTGTATTCACCAGCAATGGGAAAGAAATTGTACGCGTCAACTTCATTATACGTGCAGATACTTTTCCCTCTATTCATGTAAGTGTTTTGTCTTGTCTGAACAGTTGCATTTTAGATTTCAGGTTGTTTACTGCCTAAAATATAATGGAATTCCTTCTCTTAATTATTACAACATAACTCTTTCAACGTGACTAAATTCATCTAATTAAATGATGACAATTATAGTTGTATATCTGTATGAAACTACATTTCTTAGTTCTTTAAAACTTTGTTGTGAACAGGATTAGTTTTAAAATATTTTCATGCTATCACAGTTTTTTTCTCTTCGAAATCAACCTTTACATAAGTGCGAGCTATTTACTTAATTTGTTTTCATAAATTAAAATCATCACTCTAATATTTTCTGTGTGAAAAATAGAATTTGAAATTCTGCACGCATCTTATGTAATTAATTATCTGTCAGCACACTTATCTTTCATATCCTGCAAGGAATAATTATTTGCTTAATTTGTTTATTTTGTGTCTGATTGGTTCAGGTTATCCTCACCAGATGGACACCAAAAATTCTGAATGTGTATATGTATCTCAATATTAGCAATAACTTGAAAATAATAGTTTGTATTAAATGTTAAATAATATTGTTCTCTTTTTGTTGTACATTAAAGGAATTTCGATAACTAAATTTAAAGTTGACTTTAAGAATTATATTATTATATTTAAAATGTTTTTTGTTTTCTTTCATTTTGTAAAATAATTTTATATATCCAGGAAATATGAAGGCTGAACGTTTAAGTACAATATTGTGATTATACTTCATGATCTATTATTATAATAATTAAAACTTCAAAATTTGAATTTTGTGAGAAGGGCATTTTGAACTTTATTGTTTTAAAACTTGTTGATAGATTAACACATTAAACATTTTAATTTGTATCCATGTATTTGAAAAGTATATACGGCCATTAGCTTAAAATTAAACGATTTATAGACATACACATAAGTGTATAATTATTTATTTTAAAACCCATCTTTTGAGGAAATAATGGACCAGTTTTTTCTTTTTGTTTTGCTCTTTATGGGCAGAAAATTGTAACTTCTCAGTCACGACATTACAAACCTCTCTTTCTTCGCCTTCCTTTCTCCTTTGCTTCCTTTTTTAGCACGGGGGATCCTGCTAATGGGTGAGTAAAATTTTACTCTTTCTACCCCCACTGTTTTCTCTCACGTTCCTTTCCCCTTCTGTTTTTATTGTAGTTTAATTGGAACTATTTTAGCGAAGAAATGTGTATTTTTTGAATATGTATGATCTTTTTGGTAACTTAAAAATTAATATTCGTGGTATGGAATAGAAAGCCCCAAAATCACTGACAAATGATTCACATTTATGTAATTAAATTTGGTTTTAAAAGTTTTAGTGATGTCGATAAAGTAACGGTACAAATTATTATTCAAGTAATATGCACACCACACTAATTTGGGCATGGAAACTTTTTAATACGTAATAGATGTCTTCTTCGTGTCGTGGTTTATTAGTAATTGATAAAATGATTGCTTAAGAATAAAAACATGTTTTATGATTTATGTTTAGTTGAGAAATAAGTGCATATTTTTAGTGAACATAAAAAAATATACAATATTTTCAAAATGAGCGCTCTTTAGACGTACTATATGTAACCAAAACATAGAAACCAAAGGCTAAAGAAACTGCATAAACATCGATTAAAAATACGCCACGGAGTTTTTTTTGAGTCTCAACGAAAACAAGTGTGGTAGAGAAATTAACTCATTAACCAGTTAAAGCGAAGTTGGTGTTATAACACCGCAGGGCACATTGTATTATCTCCTACTGTTTATTTAGTATATGATATAAAGGTTATAGTTGATCATGCAGAATAACCACGCTCCTTTTATCGCTTTCTTGGGTGTTTCTCTCATACATACGCCTCAATACCTTATTACTCGAGTAGTAGTCTAAGAATGCTTTATTCAGCCTTCAAGATGTCTGTTCTAAAAATACACGACTGGCCATTTTATTAGCACCTACGCCATATACCTGTTTGTAGACGATTTCGTGTATTAGTAAATGCAACATAGATTACAATTCAGATACATCGGATGATTGCTGAAGTGTTATAAGTTGAAATATATAAACATACCTCACATAGTAAGTCTGCAATAAAAAGGGTGAGAGCAAGAATTTCTCCGACTTTCAAAGGCGCTTCATAGTGGGTGCCCATCTTTATCAAATACTGCTCTTCATTAGTACCTGTTATCAAAGTATATCAGTAATGGCAATTGAAAGCGAATATGTCTGTCACTAGCATAAACTGTGACCTCCATCCGCTGTGAATAGATCGAGGGATAAAACAATTGAGCAGCTTTGTAAAATATGGCAGACTACTTCAGACTTTGTCTCAACTTATCGATAATTTCAACCCAAGTGAGTGTCCGATTCTCATAAGCCATACCATGCGAAAGACATTAGAAAAACTGTCTTTTTGACAGCTCAAAATCAGATCTCAAAACCTTTTATGCCAGAAAGCAGAAAGCGTGACTTTAATAGTATTTAGGACTCAAAGTGTAGATAATGAATCATTAGAAGCGTGTGACGTAGTCTAATGAGTCGCATTTCACTCGTTTCTCTGCTAATGGTTCGGTAAGAGCATGGAGAAAATACACAGGAGGCACTTTAGGCTATTTATGTTGTTCTAGCAGTGTAAGCTGTTGGACTTAATGTAATAGCTTCAGACACATTTTCGTGGCACTGAGTGAGTCACTTAACTATTTTAAAGCAGCGACTAATATCCAGAGTGTAGTTGAAAGTTATTGCCCACTATGCCCACCCAATACTGCTGTATTTCCATTCTGATGAACAAGAGTCCTTTCAGGAAAACAGTGAAACCATCCACCGCCCAAATTTTCTCCTAGTTTAGTAAGCTCAGTTATCTTCCTTGACCAACACAACACCAGATCATAATATTCATATCTTTGGACCAGTTGCAGTGCATACTCCTTGAGTTCAGGCTGTTATCACGACAAATAACTTGTCCGACCCAATAATAGGTGTTGATTCTAATAGAGTGGTCAGTCAGTGTAAGTTTACTTAAGACTTCAAAAGGTCTTGACACCTTCTACAAAACAGTCTAGAATTAAATATCCCCTAAGGATTCGAAGTTTTGAAACATAATCTTAAAAGGAATTTCCAAAATCTGCAGAAGCCTATAAAAAACTTCATCGAAAAACGATTACTTGAAATCGACTTAATTACAAACGGAGAAAATGTTTACTTGTAATAAAAAAAACACATTATGATTTACGATATTAAACTGTAATGAGTACTGTTTGGTTCTTCTTATTATTATTATTAAGAAATGTGTTCAATAAAATTTTGTTCCCTTTTGGTCAATATAAAACTAACCTCAAACTTTAATGGACTCTTGTTTGTTATTGATATGAAGTAAATACAAATAATCCCAGTAATAACAAAAAAGGCCCAGCATGGCCAGGTGGTTAGGGCGCTCGACTCGCAATCTGAGGGTCGCGAG